GAAAGAGGGAGAGTGAAAGAGAGTGAGTAAAAGAGAGAGTGAGTGAGGGGGGAGAGAGAGAGAAAAAAATATAATACCTATATAAAAATTTAAATTACAAATCATACATGATTTACAACAAATTGTTGTTATGATGATAAATGAATAAAATAAAATAAACATAAAAAATAAATAAATGAACATAGGGCAATGAATGTATTAGGTTTTGTTAATGTTTATGCAACCCATGCTCCCTTAACATTTTCATCTCAACTTATTTATCAATTAAACGCAACAATTGGAACTTTTCACCAATTTTCAATGAAAAAACAAAACAAAAAACCTTGCTGTAACATTGAAAACCAAGAAGATAAGATCAACCTTTTTGATATACCAAAAGAAACAAAATAATTCTTTATAGTTTTTGACTTTGACCTAGCTAATGAGTCGCAAGTTTGAAATTCCATAAAATAAAAATGTTCAACACATATTTACTTACGTAAATGAATGAAAATGAAATTCCATGCTTACTCTTACAATAAACCAAAATTATAATTATATAAAAAAACAATGATTATATGATTATTTTCTAAATTAAAAAAATATTTCAATTTATAAACAATTTTTGACTAGATATACTTTTTTTAAACATATTACTGCTTATTCAGCAATACATTTTTTACAACTTTATATAATTTTAAGATAATGTGTGATTTATTTCAATTTTCTCAATAATTTTGTGTTCCTAATATCAATTGTAAATTTTATTTTGAGGTCGGTCTGGTTATTTTTCCTAGTTCTCCCAGCGTATATGCAGAGATAAATTGCTTTATTGAGGTAGCAGTATCTTTTTTCTTTATCAAATTGAAAATATAACAGTTTAAGGTGGTCGAAAATGTAAAAACAACATAAATATTTCACACTTTGTCCTAATATCAATAAAATTTAAAAAAATGTTTCTTTAAAAGTAAAAATGATCAACGCTTTGTTTCCAACCACTCCTTATCACATTTCTTTGACTCAATGACCCTTTATTGTACTGTGATGTTCAGTGATTGTCTCTTTTGTGGGTGTGCCCAATAATCCTTTGTTTTTAAATTTTACTAAGACAGCTTACTCCATGAAGAATAATTTTGTATCACTGAATGATTGGCCAATTTGAACTCGACTGGACATGATTACAGTCAATGTTGTGCTCTATAAAGGATATTCTTTTGCTTTGCTGAAAAGACACTCTTCAACTAACCATTGAAATGCTGTTGAAAATGTATTAGTGATGTGCAAATTCAATGTCTTAAATTCAATGAGCAAATATCTTCTTAGCAAGATGAAATAATTATTTATATCAATTGCCTAAAATTCTTGACAGTATAAAAATTTCATTTAAGGTTTTATTTCATTAGATTAAAAGGAATGCACAAATTTTATAATGAAAAATAAACTATTTTGCTCATAAATAAAGACATTTTACAATTGTCTAATTTCAGTCAAAACTAGGTATATTATTAAATTGAGCTAAATTGTTCTTTAGGTTATGGACTTTTTCTTCTGAGAAACTTGCGGATTCTCTTATCTTTGGTAAAAATATAGTTAGAAGTGAGAAATCATGTCTTATTTAAAGGGCAACATATATAACATATAAGAGGGGCAATTTTGTGTCTACCGATGTTGCCCTTGATGTATATGTGTTGTCAGATGTTTGGAAAGGTAATCGGCTCTGGCAAAGCATTTGCCACACATCTCACAATGATAAGGTCGTTCCCCTGTATGAATCCTTAGATGCCTTGTTAAATCACTCTTCCCTCCAAATGCACGGCCACAAAACAGACATGCGAACGGTCTTTCTCCTGTATGTTTTCTTACGTGGAGTTTGAGGTTTTCTTTAGATCTCACACATTTCCCACAGAAAGGGCAGGCAAATGACCTGGGAGGCCGCTGCCTTTCATTCAGACGCAAGAGTCCTATGAGGGAAGATTCACCAGCTTCCACTGAGACGGAATCGACTGTGTCATCTTGGTCTGAGGTTTCCGAACGCCTACCTACCGCTTCATTTGAGCTTGTCACCTCGTCTTGGCCTTCTGCACAACCCCCTTCATCTTTATCCCTTTCTGGGGGCCTTCTTGGACTTGTGTGTAATCTCTCTAACGTGTGGTTTAATCTGTGTTTCTTAAAAGATTTCAAATATCTAAACTGCATTCCACAAACATCGCATGTAAACAGCTTGTCTGCAGGAAGTCTTGCTCTGTGGTTTTGCTCTCGGTGTTTGATATATGCTGATCTATACCTATAGCTTTGGCCGCACTGGTCACACCTGAACGGCTTGTCGTCTCTCATTGGCTCAGTGGTGTGAGGACTCCTAGTTGAACTGTGGCCCGGATGCTGCATCTGAATATGACGGTCTAAAAGCCAGGTGGTCGGAAATGCCGCAAGACACACACTACATCTCACGCCTGGCACATCCAATCCTTGTGCCCTCAGCAGACTTACAACAGTTTCACCATAAAGACCAGCAAATCCTGCTAAACCGGGGTACTGGAAAGGGGTTGAACTTCTGCTACTACTGCTGATTTGGTCTAAACTTTGGCTGCTACCGGGACCGAACTCACCTTCAACTAGGCAAACTTCCTGGAAAAATGATTAAAAAATAGTTAAATGAAAAGTTTTGCTATTGCATTTCCTTAGCAATAAATGCTACAGATTTGATTTAAGTTGGTTTAAGAAGTAAATTTATTATATTTTGTTTTTGCAATCAATTTAAATATAATAATATAATAAATTAACAAGCATACACTTGTATACTGTCATATACTTTTTTTCCCCTGTTAAGAAGCAAAAAATATTTAATTTTAATGTATTCTACAATTTACTTAGCAAGTTTAATATAGAATACATCAGTGTTGCTTGTCTGTAATTTTTAAATGGAAGCACTGTTTGATTAATAAATGCAACAAGGAAATGCGTAGGAAATGTTTTGCAATATTAAGAAATTCTTCATCCATAGTTCAAATTAAAAGAAGGTTTGTATTTGTAATAAATCTCTTTTTCCTGGAGGCTTTCAATTTTTTATTAGGTTTAAATAAAAATTAATAATTTTAAAGAGAAAATTATTTATTATTATTGATTATTTCTGTTGTTATTTCTGGGTTTAATTGAGATGACAACTGTTTAAATGTACACCTAAAGCTCATGACTCAAGGTCGACTTAGAGATAATTAAACTTTTGTCATTCCTTACATTTTCCTATAATTATCATGCATACATGCAGAAGAGGAAGGAAGTTTGTGAACAGCAAGTAACTTAGCAACAGTAACTAAGATTTAGGAGCTATTTTTCCTTTGTAAATGGGAAAAAAGATTAGCTGTAGATAGTTTCATTATTTTATTGTTTATTGTTTTTTAATGACCTTAACAAATTTAGATAATTCAATTATTAACAAATGGTGTTTTATTGTTGAACAAATAAATCTTGGTGAGACATATTTTGGCTTGTCTTCTCTACATGCATCTGATGGTTTACCTGCCCCATATTTTATATATATATATGCAACAAGTTGATCATAATCAAATAATGAAATGTTATTTCCTCCTAAGATCTGTGGGGTGATCAATGCCAGTGTCGATTATTCTGATAGGCAAATCAGAATGCAAAAATTCAAATTGATCCTTGTTATACTTATGTCATGATAGAATCTAGAGTTCCGGGTTTGTAAACCGTTCAATGAGTCGAATTATGTTCAATTATCTTTAAAAAAGTTCAATTTCTGGGTATCTGATTTTGGTAATTTGTACAGTTATAAAATAGACTTGTATTGGTACAGATTGATTACGAAGTGAAAATTGTGTTGTGCTTAAATTTATTATTGTTTTTTTTTCCCCTCAGCCCTAAGCTCATGCGAAATGTAATAACACAAATATATAAGGTAGATGGAGTCACGTACACAGCTTGAAGGGCAATGGAAATACTATTTCACCATCAGCCCCTCCCCATTCACTCTAATAAATACACTCCCTCATACAAAACACATATTTTTAAGGCTATATACAACAAAAAATTCACAATTCCCCTATAAAATGGAACAGGGGACCTTGAAACTTGATACCGTGCCCGAGAACCATTCTTAAATCCGGCGGCATGCCTACACACTCTCTTTAGGAGCCAAGGCATGAGGCGCCATTATGTGGGACACATTGAGCAATCTTTCTCTGCATAAGGGGCACCTGCACGGGCTTTGGCCCAAAAGCAAGTGCCCATATGTCAACTGCATATGGCCAATCTTCAGTCGGGTGAGGATGATCCTTTGCTTCCTGCTCAGGTTCTCTGAGGGCCATCTACCAGTCATGCTCTTGACTCGCAAGAGCCTCTCCAATGACCCCACCTACTGACGCTTCCATTTTTCTTTTATCATGTTTTACTCTGCATGTTTAACATCAGAGGGCCCGATCGCGATGGTTCCATCTTAAGGACGGGACGTCCCGGCTTTCGCCACCTCATCCGCATGTTAGTTACCTACCAGGCTGACAAGTCTGGGAACCCAGACAACAACCACTGTTTTTCCAAGAGGCTCCATCTCTGTGCATTTCTCTAACAAGAGCACCACAAGAGGGTCTTACATTATTACAAAAGGAATGTTGAGGTCATTGTGGATAGTGAGTCCAATAAAGTAAAACATTTTGCATAAATAATAACATTATCTAACTGCCAAAAAAACATAAAATTATTCCCACTGTCGCCTCTGGCCTTTTTTTCACAATACCCTTCCCCCTATATGCATATGCATAATATATTGTCTCCTTGGCTAATATGCATAATCATAAGAGCATTAAGAAACAATAAATAAAGCTTATAACAGATATTAAATGGGGGAAAGGGGGAGGACATGTTTTTACTGCTTGACAATGCCGTTATGTGAAGTATAATTATTTTACTTTTGTTTCTCCATATTGGCAATTATTTAACTGACATTGAAACTAGTAATATGTATACATTTTATTAGGAAGTTATATAAGTTCAAAAACAGTGTGCATAATCTTAAGCTTTTATTTCTGAGTAACACTTTACAACTATGATATGCATTCCATAAATAAATAAATATCATAGGGAATAAGCCTAGTTCACTGGCCATGTTATGTCCAATCATATTGACTCATTAAGAAAATATTGACATTTTTATATGCATATATCATTAATTGTTTTCACGACTATACAAGCGAATGTGTAGAAAATATAAAGGTGGTGTTTTCATTTTTTTTTTGCATAACTTAAAAATAGAAATCAACTCTATTTACAAATAACAATGTAGGTGAAGCTACGTCGAACAAAATAAAATAAATGATTCCTGCAGGAAGTTGGTGTTCTATGTTCTTCTTGTATCAATACAAATGCACTTGTGCCTGAATAAATAATCAAAATGGTATGTGCAAAATGGCACTTTCTCCTACTCCATTTTCTAAGGAACATTATAAAATTTATGGAACTCTTACACAAAATTAACTTGTAAACTTTGTTGTATACAATACTGTAAAACCACATCAGATGTGATTTTTGACACTTCTGCTTTGTTTAGAATTTATTTTTTTAAACAAAAATAGCAATGATTATTAGTATTGTTTGGCTATGAAACACAATAATAAGAGTTCCATATACAACCAGTCTGACCACACTACAATTGTGCCTTGTTTTTCAATTAAAACATCAATTTAAGATAGTTTTAAATTTAACAGGCTCCAAGCTAAAATTGACTGTAGCAGCATAACTGTCACATTCGCTTTCAAACAATCCAGAATCATTTTTTAATTACACTTTCTTTTAATTATTGCAAATATAAATTAGATCATCACAAACTATCACAGTCATCTGCAACAATTCGTTACATCAACAACAACAGACTCATTACTTTTTTAGAGTTTACTAGCAAATATTACAAAAATACAAAACATGCTGTTATATTTTTCTTTTTCTAGCTTAAACAAGGCAAACCACAGCCTTCCACTCTAACCTAAGGTACTCCACAACTTCTGCAACGTGACAAACAGTTTTAATTATAAATGCTCTTACAGCTGCAAATGATTTTTTCTTTTCAAATTTATTAACGTTTTTTCTATCTACATTATTGCTGTGCTTTCTTATAATTTTGCAATCATAAATAATTATTTTAATATAACATTCTCTTACATCCAATGTATCACTTTTATTACAATAATTTAATTCAGTCGAAAATTAATTCTGAATATAAAACCAAATTTAAGTATATACCAATTAAAACAATGTACTATAGAATAATATCATGTTTCAACACAAATTTCTGTTCATAATACTGTGCACACAACAAATAAATTAATTTTTAGTGATATAAATAGCAAATTTTGAAGAACTAGTTATGCATATTATAGCAAATCTTTTTAAAATTAGATTACACATATTTTATTCAAGAAGTCTGTCATTTCTAAACAAATTAGCTGGCCAAAAATAATTTACAAAAATAATTAAAATTCCAATATATAAATGTATATTTTTTGTTTGTTTTATTTTTTAAATAATATCCTTATGGTCTAATTTTGCTATCTACAAGTCCGACTATTCATTTTGGATTATTGTGATACGAGCACAATGTCCTGCAGTTTTATTATAATTCATATTTACAGCTTTAACCTCACACAAAGTACTTATCTATACACATATAAAAGGAAAATATAGAGAAAAAGAAAAAAGAAGCTTTTTATAACTAACGTAGTTCTCAATTGCTTCTCTCGGTATTTTTCAGGTTATTACTTTTTTGAGCTAATATGTTAACATTTCTGAAATGTATTGAGAATATTTGTTGTAGTGATTAAATGTACACTATTATTATACCAAAGATAAACAAGTTAAACAAATTAAGATTGTTTGATATTGTCAACTAAAACAAGAAAACAATATTATGACATAAGAAAATGGGTTGTAATTAAAAAAAATAAATAAATAAAAATAAAAAATCATAAATTATATGACAAATATAACTTTATTGTTTGCCATAATTTAATCAATGAAATGCTATATACAGACAGCTAAAAAGCAAAAAATATGAGATTAACCCTATTTTCAAATTTGCATACTAATTGAATCAATATGTCAGTACTTTGATTTAACTTGTTATATTAAGGAACAAAATTTTTTCCGTATTAACTCATATGCAAGATTATGACTGAAATCCTGTTATTGTGTCGGATTTAAGTACGGAAAAAACTCTCCCTCATCCATTTCTAGTTTGACTATTTAACAAACAATTCAATCACAGAAAACAATGTTCTTTTGTTCTGTTTATTCTGATATAAATTAAAAATTAAGCTTAACTACCGAACCCTGTTATTATCACTCCCCTACCATATCACAGCTGACGTGTCTATGGAACTATTTATATCAACATTAACTATTCTATCGTTAAATTTCTACTATAATTACATTAATCATTTTTCTTCTCGACAAACTATTAGATTGTTTAAAAGCACCTAAAATTAACTTATATATCTTGAATATGAGAAAATACGGTCTGGACAAAATGTTTCAAACAAAAAACTGTACATAAAGATCAATGTTAAAATAAAAAATCTAAAATAAAAAATCTAATTAATTAGATTTATTATGGTATAGATCATGAAAAAATTGAATTTACATTAAATTTATATTGAATTACTGATCACATAAAATAACCGACTAGATGTAATTTCCCTTTAATTTATAACATTCCTACTAGATTAATTTAAATAAAATAAGTTTCTGAAATAAATTGGTTTGACCATTTAATAGTTGAATTAATAATCAGTAATGTTAACAAAAAATACAAATATTAATTTAAGAACAATTCACTAGCTTCCAAATTAAACAAATTAGCCATAACAATAATTATTATATCACAATTGTAAATAAATTACATTATAAAATAAATATAATCACAATATGTATAAATTGGTTACAAAATCTTAATAGTCTCACTGGTAGAGATATTTTGTACATAGAAAACTCAAAATAATTAATTTATTATTGTTATTGTAGTCTAAAATTAGACAGAGGTATTTGTGTTTTAACTTGCTTTGAATGTAGTGTTACAAGCCACTGTAATTTTTCTTCTGACTAATTTCTTGTAATTAAAAGTTTTTGATTGCTTTTTTAATTAGAATTAATTGTACCATTTAAGTCAAGGAGATGGAGAAGTCCTTGGAAGGTACAGGGGCTCCGATGGGATATCACAAGGCATCATAGGTCTTGGTAAACAAAGCGATTCTACCGACAGATCATAAGGTAATATAGGCATTTCGTTTTGCCGCCTTTCGTCCTCTGGACTGGGGGATGAAAGAAACCTCCGCACATACTTTGGATAGTGGGTCTTTTCATGTGCCTTCAAAATTGTAGATCTTGAGAAAGTCTTTCCACACAAAGAACACCTAAAAGGTCTTTCACCGGTGTGAACTCGACAGTGGTCTTTCATATGATGACGGAGTTTGAAGGCTTTTCCACAGAATTCACATTTGAATGGCCTATCTCCCGTATGTACAGGCAGATGTCCTATGAGAGTCCCAACATCTGGAAACGTCTTTCCACAAAACTTACAAAGTGCACCTGGTGATATCGGCTCTGACTTTACTAAAGGCATTGGTTGGTAGTGGGGCATCTGGGAGTGAAACATCTGCTCTCTGTACTTCAGTGTCTCCAGGCTGTGAGATAGTATATGTCTTGCCAACTTGCTCTGATGCGGGAACGCAGCAGCACAATACATGCACGAATATAACGCCCTTCCCTCACCGACTTCTGTATTCTCCTGCAACCAAACAAACGAAAGCTCATCAACTTCTTAATGTACCTTCCTTTCATTGAAGAGAGTGGACAAAGCCGAACAGAAGGTGGAAATGGGTTTAAAGGAAAAACTGTTTAGAAGTTGACGCTCATTTTGTTTGGCTGCAGTGAAAATATAACCCCACAATTATGAATAAAAAAGTACACATCCATCACAGGAAAAAATAGATGACTGAATGGCATTAAAATATATAATATAATAATTGTATAGATATTAGAAGAAAAACGCACAATCAAAAATTGGCCAAAAATGTAGGTCAACTTCTTTTCAGCAAGGCAAGGTAAAATGTCAGATGTAATAAATAACTTAAAATAAAAATAAATAAATGGCATGCTTACGAAATGGTTTCAACTAAATGGTACATAAAAAAATTCCTTATTTTGAAAGAATGGTTCAAGTTCACATCCTGAATCAAGGAACTTTTGTTTTATTTAAAAAAAATTGGTCTATGGTTCAGAATCTTGAGAACGTGCATTAATCAACCATGCAAATATGAACATGCCATGCAACATATAAATGGAAACAAGCCAAATTAATGTTAAAAGGGAATTTGGATTATAACAATATAGAGATATTAAATAAAATAAAAATGACTTACTGGATCATGAGGAAGCTTGTAATCTGAGGATGTTTCACCCATGCTCTTGTCATCCGTTCGGTCCCATTCTACTTCTTTTTTTAACGACTGTCAACAAATTACGTGAATTTAGTCATTGGGTATAAAAATATAATAAAAAATTAGTTATTTTTTGATCTTTCATTGTTGGCCTCTAAGTTTAGTATATAATTCTATACCTTCAGTTTATTCACCAAGTTAAAAATAAAAAAATGAAAAAAATGTACATGATATCATCATATTTACTAGACATTTCAGTACAAAGGTTTTTCTTGAACAGAACAAAAATGCTGTTATACCATCGGTTTCTTCTAGTTAGTTCATTTAGATTTGAAATCAAGTTGTTTTAGACGTTGATGGTGCTTAAAGAATAAATAAAAAAAAAAAAAATAATGTTTACATACATTAGAATATGCTACAATAAAGTAATAAAAAGTAATTCAGATTCCACTGAATAGTCATGATGTTTGAAATATCATCCAAATAAGTGCAGATACTCAAATGTAATGTAAGGCTTTGTAACCCTCCAAATATCAGTATGAATCAACACAATAATAGGGCAAGAAATATTGTACTTAAAATATATATTGCCAGTTTTTTAAAGCTTTATAGTATCACGGACTGGGGCAAAAGAAATACAATGATGGACAAAATTATTAACCCATCACTCTTAAATTTTAATGTATTATACCAAGGTTATTATACCATAAGGTTTATTCATATTTTGCATACCAAAAATAGGTTTGAAGTTTTAAAAGACAATGTTTACTATCTAATTGTAACAAAACAATTATTGTGTAAAGTAACTAAAAATAAATAAATAATAATAAAATTTTTTTAAAAATGTAAAAAAATATTTTCTTGTCCTCTTTAATACCGAGTATTTCCACATCTGGTACAAATCATGTCCATTAAATGCTTTTACATTCCTTGGGAAAGTTTCTAATATATTCTTAAGGAATTCTTTTTCATTAATTTCAAACTCTTGTAAAGTGTTAGGACATGGCGACATTTCACTGTTTTCTTGTCGCTTAAATCCAAATATGTTTTATTGGGTTCAAATATCGGGTTTTGAGCCTCATTCAGGCAGTCATCCACAATATGAGCGGGGACCTGGCATTATCTTGTATTAGCACGAATGTATCACCGTGTGGGGGGGGGGCAAATGGCACTACATGTTCTCGATTATGTCTTGTAAATACCTCTTCTTCGCACTACAACCAATTAAGTGCAGGCATCAAACAAAATGTCACTCCAGAACATCAATAAACCACTGAGGAATACCACATGAAGAACCATACAGCACAGATCCTGAGCGTTCTCATATGAAATTACTCCAAACTGAAGATTTGAGGCCAACTCTCACTTCTTCTGTAAAGTGAACTCGTCCTCAATCTTCCAATGTCCAATTTGCATCTTCCCATTTTCTTAGCTGAGGTAAAAAGAGGTCCAAGAGACGGGTTCCAGGCTTTGAGGATATTTTTATTGAGCCTTCTTCTTACTGACCTGGAGGAAATCAAAACATTTTGGACTTGTCTTATCAGATTTCTTATCTCATTTCCTGTAATGCTGTGGTTTTGTAGAGCCTGATGACAGATGAATCTATCCTCTCTCCTGTCCATAGATCTACGTCAACCCTGTCTTAGCCTTCTAGAGGCTACTTTTTGTGAAAATAGGATTTATCAATACAAAAGCAAACAAAGGAAGTAAATAAAGCATTATTTAGTTTATTTTGACTTCGATAGCTCCTAATTATCTGAAACTAATGTGGAAAGATAGTGGATTTAATTTTAAACTAAATAACCAAGTGGTAAATCTGATGTCTCAAATTATTAAATATTTCTATCCATGCACTAATTTAAAACTCTTTTATGTAGTTGGGGCTAGTAATTTAAAGAAATAACAAAATTTAAAAAATAAAAGTAAATAAATTGAATAGTGCGTTAAATTTGTCCATCAGGGTATTTAAGTCAGATAAATATGTGTTCTATGCATATACACTTATGATTATGACAAAATAAACAAGTTATAGGGCTAAAGTGAAAAAAATTAAAGATGTGAACTATGTATTTTTTGAATGGTGATAATGAACTTTGTTTACCAATGGTTAAAAATGTACGTAAAAACATATAAAAATACATTGAGAAAGGTCAGCTATATATACTGGGCAAGAGTATTAGTACTAGTGGGAAATACATTGCGATGAGCTAAAGATATAGGAATGTTTGCTTTGTTTTTAGTTTTATAAATGAAGTTAGTTTTGCAACTTCATAAGATTAAGTATATTAGGAATTAAGTCAGATTAATTGTTAGTAATTAAAATAGCACTACTATACTAAATTTTGGTGAAAGGACAATAAGACAAATCCTGAGGTGAGCGAGAGCCAGTTGCATGTTGTATGGCAGTTAAAAGATTATCCACGAAAAATAAGATATGACATGGATTGACTGGAGAACTCTGGCAGAAAATCGATAGAAGCAGTGTGAGTTATTTATATGAAAATGTTTGACCAAAGTGTTGGATCAAGTGAGGTAAACAGCAGATTAAGCCAGAAAAAATTATCTTTCTTGAGATTTTCCTACAAGAAACAGCGATTTGATAACTTGTAGTTTTTTCTTGGGTTTTTTTTCTAACTAAGTTTGATAGTTGTCTAGCTCCTGAAAAGAAAGCCAAGAAATATAAATAGTCAACAACCGAAACAGAAGAGTAAAAAATGTAGTTTTGTTGTTTCTGATAATTTTGGTCAATTTATCCTTGCTGTTTTGGTCTGTTCAAAGTGTTTCGGCTTATTGCTATCTTCAGCTGTGGGGATGTGAAACGTTAAAATGCATCTGACAGACCAAAACATTAGGAAATGACCAAAATATATCACAATTATGGTTGTCGTTTAGTGGAAGTGTCTTTTAATACAAGGGAAATACGTACCAAAGGAGCGTCTTGTACAGGAGGAAGCCCAGAAGGACCAGGTACAGGTTCAGATGAATGGGGAGATGCTGGAGCTGGGGGAGTCATGTCGGACGGAGCGCTGTGAACTGAGGAAGCATCGTCATCATCTCTGGTTGTTCCTTGGGGTGATCGCACTTCTTCTTGCTGTTCCATAGAAGGTGGTGGAGGCGGAGGTGGTGGAAGATCTGGGGCAGGAATGGGCTGAGCTACGACTGCAGGATGTTGAGGAGACCCTCCACCATCGTTGCCTTCGCCACCGCCATGGCTATCATCGCCTCCTGCCTTTAAAGCGGTCATCTCCGCCAGCCCTTTGACCTTCAAAAAATAAATCGTTTAGTCCAACAAGTCCAGTCTTGGGTGTCTCATACAACTACCTTCAGACTTTCCGCCGTTTTTAAAAGTGCTGACAATCTACAAGTTTCGACGGAGACTTCTCCTCTGTACATGAACTCGACGAGGGTCCTCAGTTCAGAGAAGCAGACGTCCTTTAGGATGACGATGGGATGCCTGGCAGGGTGGTCCAGGAAGAGCGCCCTGAAATATGAGGAGCAGGCTGAAAGGACGACTTTGTGAGCCCTGAGGGAATGGCCTTCCGATGAGGCCAACGTGACGTCCACGAGGCTCTCGGCTTCTAGAAGTTGGCTGAACACGCCCAAGAGATTGCTTTGATGATTGTTCCACCTCAGGCAGTAATGCTCACTTCCCATCTCTGATATATCACCCTACAGCAAAAAACAAAGAGGATTTTTAAAACAAAAGTAGCAATAGACTAAAAAAGCAATCACTACTAAACTATAATATTAAATTAGATTTGTTTTCAAAAGAAAAAAAATCTTTCAATTATTTATTTATGAGGATATTTCAACTACGAGGTTATATGAACCCTAAGAGTGTCAGTGTTTTTGGAAAAAGTCCATTTGTAATTATTTTGGGTTTGAACGGTAAGTATTCGAATTGCCGCTGGATTTGAACGTGACTTTGACTTGACTTTTACCTTACAGTGATTAATCCGAGTCAATGGCAAACACCCGTTTTAAATCAGTTGATTGCTTAAATTTCACAAATTATTTCGTTTTAACGGTGGCCATCGTCCTTGTAACCCTTTTCCCAAACGTAAAAAAAAGGCTAAAAATTACATAATTAACCACATAAAATTACAAGAGATCTGAAACAACAAACGTGGAGACATAAAAACATTATTACCTACATTCAAATGTCAAAACTTTGTATTTAAGTTCTCGATACTAGGAGTATCCGAGGAGGAAGCGTTTCCGTTCGTGAGGGAAAACATACCTGCATATTGTTCTCTTTCATTAATATGACAGTAAATACGCGATTTATGAAATGGTTTGTTTAAATGTTCCAGGTTAATAAATCAACAAGTGGGATGGAATGAAGTAGCGTGAAAAAATATTCATTACGTGTGGAATTCGGAATTTCATGTTCAATTATTCAACCGGCAAAAGCCCCTCAGCGGTCCTTAAACAAGAAATTCTTCGATCCAGGAGAACGAAATGATTTTAAACGGAAAAAAATGTTTAATGAAAACCGACCAGGTCTGATTCGTCTTATCCTCGTAGTCTGAGCCTTGAAGTGAGACGCGTTCGTCAACCGAAACCCCGATGACAAATAATTTCAAGGCTACTTATTCACAAAATTTAAAAAAATGGTTGTGGTTTCATTTCATGAGTTTAACAATACCAATCAAGATGACTCGCTTCGTGTTAAATTGTTCTGCTTGTCACCCGGTCCGCTTAATGCCGTCGGGTTTCGTTCAGACCAGTTTCACCCTTTCACAAGTTTCATAAAAATGGCTTCAATAGTAGCTCATCGGATGACAGATAAGCTATTATTTTACCAAGTAATCGTATTTCAGACAATCAATACATTTTAACTATCTGACGCTACCGTCAAACTTCATCTTCAGTTTTGTCACATTTTTATATTAAAGCAAAGAAACTGGGAAAAGAGACAAAACATTTAAAATATCCAGCTTTTGAAAATTTACCCAATTTAACATCTCATTTCTCAGAGTACATCCGCCTTAGAGAAAAATGGCGATTTAAGGATGAGATAAAATGCAAAGAGAAACTCGTTTTAAGAGGAAAGCAACGCAAATCGATGGTATTTTGTTTTTGAATTGTGCAGGACTGATAAAAAAAATGCTTTACCTATTTTAAAAAACTTAACCACCAATAAATGCTAAACATTATCGTCGAGTCAGAGCATATTAGTAAGCTCATTTTACAAGAATTTTGTAAAAATAAATTGTCCACAGTATCGATCTTATTTGAGCTACTTTTATTTCGACCGGTCTTTCATCAACCATAGTCGGATAGAAATAAATATTGGCATTTTGTTATTAAATTTTGATTGTATGCATAATTCACCGATATGCTTTGCTCACCTTCTCAGCAGGTATATATATAAGTTATCGGATATTATCAGATTGCAATGCTAAGATGCAGGTGGCATTCTCAGAATTGCAATCAGCACTCTCTCCCACCAGGGAAACGTAATTGTTTATAATTTNTATATATATATTTATTTGAATCCTACTTTACCTCCCGTGAAAACAATGATAAATAAGCTATATCCAGAAGTTATGGTCTCAAGTCTCCTTATCTAATTTTTATTTCATTTAAAAAATGAAAGGAAACGTCTATTCTCCTTTTTTAAGCAATTAAAAAAAATTAAGGAAACTCAAAATATTTGCGCAACTAATCTTCCCGATAAACATCAAATTTAATTAATTTAAAATGAGATAGGTTGAGATCCGAAATTCATGACTTTTAACAAAAAATATTTATTTATGATTGTCTGAAAGAAAATTCCCCAAAACACCGGAAGATCATTTACTGGTATATTAAATTTAACTAACAATTTATGACCTAGTTTTGCCTTTAATAACGCGTATTATCTCTTCTGGCCTCGCGGAGGGCCTTAAGTCTCTTAGGCATCGAGCGATGGGATTTTGTCTTGAGAAACTACATCCATTCTTCTACAAGAGCGGTTTGAAGCCGTGCAATGCTTGTCGGAGGCGGCGAACAATCCCGTCTCAAGTCCCTTAAGTGTTCTAAGGGATTTATGTTAGGAGGAAGTGCTGGTACTCATTGTGGTAATTTCTACATCTTCCAAGTAAAAGGTGACAACCCTAACTACATGCGTTCGAGCATTATCATGCATTAACACGCAGTTGACCCCAATAAATGAAGCGAATGGAACCAGAGCAGTCAAAGGTCCATTTTGTATGATAATCAGATCGGTAGAGCATGGATGTCGATTCCACACTGTAACATTACTGACTGTCTTTGAAAAGCTGTGACTCACGCATGGCACATGAAACAAAGAGTTCTCCAAGTCTTTTCCACACACGGACCAGGTCATCTGATTGCCACAAACCTTATCTGTGAAGAGAACAGCTCATTGCTCAAGTGCCCAAATGAGATACTGATAGGAAACCTTTCTACTCGATGCCTGTCCAGTAGTAGAGAGCAGACAGATTAGGCTATTCTCACGAAGCCTTGTGATGACTGTTTGACAGTACACCCTCACATTACGGGCCGTTTTGAGTTGAGAACCTATCAAGGAAGCCGTTAAAACGGAGGTTCCTTAGTTCGGACTGGAATATGTAACGGACGCTAAGTCCGTCGTTGGCCAAACCATCTTCCCGGGCTTCTCGACTGAAAACCATACTGTTAAGAAACAAATTATTTACTCAATTTTATTGTTGCATCAAAGAAAACAATTTAAAAAACCAACTAACTCACTCGAAAAGTTGGCTCTGGAAATGATGAAATTAAACAATTTTCTTTATTTTTAATCTAAAGAGAGAAAAAGGATTAGTAACATTCTATAAGGGTACAAGTTAATTATGTTGCGTTTATTTTAAGTCAACTATTAATCTGTATACCTAGTTATTTTGGAAAATAAACAAATAAATGCAAGTGTCCGGGTTTTTTGTCTTTCTTAATAATGATAAAGCAATCGTAATATTTGCGGATATATGGATATGAATTGTCCATAATGAATCATTATTATAACCGACTCTTGGGAGCAATTGGGCATCATTAATTTATAATTTGAGAACATTATGAGATGCTGCTACGTGTTCGCCCGCAATTGATCACATATTTCAGAATGGTACACAGCCAACATATTTCGGACGGTAAAGCCATGATGATAACAAATAATTATTTGTTAGCATCATGTTACTAACAAATTATTATCTGAATGAATTACACCAGTATGCAAATGAAACTTTTTTGAGCGATGATTTCATCATATGAGGTGTTTCTGAATGGTTTTTCAGTGCAGTTTCTGAATATGACTTCAGTTTTTTCTACCACGTCAGGATTTTTCACAAATCGAATTCGATATAATAGCAAATTTTATTATCGGAATCAACGAGAACCCATAATTTAGATTAATTTATTGATAGATGAAACACTATAAACTTTATATTACTATGTAAGTAAACTAAATACATTTTTACAGTCATGTATAAAGTAACCAATTTCATTTCTAGGTTAGTTTTTGAATTTTCTTTTCTTGGTTTTCCGTGTTGACCCATCATCCTTGCAGTCTCGCTTCAGCATCCAACAGTAGTCTGCCATCATGCTCGAATTCCAGTTTCCCTTGTATATCCTTTCCATTTCTCTTATATCCTGGTGGAACCTTTGACCATGCTCCTCGCTGAAGTCACCAAGATTTTGGGGAAATAGTCTACGTGTGAGTGTAGAAAATGTACTGTCACGCTCATATTGCATCCTTGTTCTTGAAAGCTCTTCAGCATATTGCTCACCATATTTTTGAAATCTGGATGTTTAAAATTGCCCAAAAAGTTTTCAACGACTGTTTTAAATCCATTCCATGCAAGTTTTTCTTTCATTGACATAGTTTTTATAAACCCTTCATCCCGGAGAGTTGATTAATTTGAGGGCCAATAAAAAGCCTGCTTTTATTTTTTCGGCAGTGATCGCAGGAAATTTCGTAGCCGGGTATTTAAAGCACTCACTCTCTTGAGATAAGGCTGTTACAAACTGTTTCACGAGTCCCAGTTTTATTTGTAATGGAGGTAGGAGTATTTTTTGAGGGTCCACAAGGGGGTTATGTTTTTGTGAGAAAACTGTACGTCTTATCAAAAAACTGAGTTCATTTCTGAAATCAGCATGTAAAATTGATGGGAAAAAGTAATTTGGAAGCCCATGGAGATAAAGAACTGATGTAATTTGTAAAGACCAAACATTCTAAAACAAAAAAAATCCCATTTCACCAATTTAAATAAACAATATTGTCAGAGGCGCATTCCGATCGCTCCTTGATCCACCGGGTTCCCTATCGATAGGGCGTTGCAAGAAAACAAAAACAAAAGGGCATTCCGAGTTTGGAGCTCCATGAAAGTACTTGGTACCATCCGGTGGGTCAATTCCCTTTTTTCTGTGAAAAGAAATCATTTCCTTGTTCATCTTCTGGGAGTGCGCCCGCTCCTTTCATTTAAAAAAAAATCATATATAAAAAAAAATAGATAAATTTTTGTTTGGATAAAATTATTAAAATAGGTTCAAAAAAAGCTTTATATATTTTATTTATGCTAAGAGAAACAATTATGTTCATTTTTCCTGCGTTTTCATTCTTTTCATTTTAGTTCAGAGGAGTTTCTTATTTTATTTTATATTTTATAATAAAAGTAATTTTTTTATGTTCCAAATTTTTATTTATT